TGCAAGTAGTTACGAAAGGTGTGTGGAAACATCCCAACAATATTAGCAGCCCCTGCATCGACTGCGTAGACTGGATAGGCACTTTTGATACACATACAACCAGAAGTGGATTTAAGTGGCCTGACTGACACCAAAGATTTCGACTACAGCGCAACATAGCTGTGCCAAATAACAAAAGAAACGAAGAGCCTCCAAGAAGTGAATAACATGCCTGGACGTCGACATACGAATTTGGTCGTTCTTCTTGCACCTCAATACCAGACGCGGAATCAATCCAGCTCTTGCTCCCGTAAATAAAAGTTACCGGCACTTCAGGTGACAAATCGATTATTCTTCAATTAAACTAGAATTACCAAGAAAGTTTGTGCAAAAAAAAAAAGAAAAGCATAGGCTATGGTCTCGAAAACATCGCGGTATTTGTGGCTGAAAGATACGAAGTGGCGTGGAAAGGACCGCACTTTCAAACCTGCAAAATTGTCAGACTGTATGTCAAAAGATGAGCATCTAAACTGTTTGCTGATAAAGATTCGAGGGTTATTAGCAGTAGCGGAACAATGAAGGCCAGTGATGAAGAGAATTAGAGAAAAGAGATGCGAGTAGGGAAAGGAATAAGAAAATGAAATTTTCGAAAGTTAAGATGAGAAACAAAAATTAAGACCATTAATTGCTTAGGGTCTTAAATAGGCGAAAAAAAAGTGATGCTAAAAGCATGCGCACTGAGGAATTCGTTGACACCTGGTTAACACTTTTGTTGGAGGAAAAAAAAACTTTTTGCTTTTTAGCAATCTGTCTGTGTTTCATCCTAAAGCTTTAAACACGAACAGCTAAGGAATGAAATTTAACAAATAAGTAGTACTGCCTTTATGGATGGCTGAAAGGCACCTGAAAGAGCAATACTTTCAACAGGTCAAATCAGTCTCCTGTTTTCTAGGCATCATGCTACATGCAAGCGGTCTGTCATCATATTTATTCGGATTAAAAGAAATGAAAACTATAAATTACCGGCCGAGCATCGGCCTCTTTGCCCAACCAAACGAGAAGCTCATATCAATGAAGGCTGTTTCACCCGTCGGCTCCTGAGCATTGCACTGATAAATGTACTCGTAAATGGCATTTGGATCTGCACATCCATAACGAAGGCTCAAATCAGGCCGCATTTTCTTGATTAGTGAGACTCCTAAATTAAATTCTGCAATATTATAGCTAAACCTTTTCCAAGACAGAAATTTATGCAGAAGCAGAATTTAACAGATCAAAGACCTCAAAGGCCTCAAACTAAACCACCGCGGCGAGGGCGGGGAATGAATAACTAAATGAGCGCCAAAAGCTGCATTACAGCACTGGCCAGCTATAAAGCAGTGAGCTCTGCTAGGAAGCAGAAACTGAATAATTGAAGAAATGTTAAATTCGCCCGACCAGCATTTAAGGACCGAAAATCACCGATATTTTCTGAGAATGGCATATCAATTAAAGAGGAACCGGCTTGAGCTAACAAGCTGAAGTGCAGCACATTTCAAAACGTGACCACTCTGAGGAAGGCAGAAACGGGAGGGAGAAGAAAAAGTACGAGAAGAACAAGACGAATGAAGGACGGAAAAAGGGAAGAGGGAAGGAGGGAGTGGAGGAATATAACTGAAATTTTTGAAAACATAATCTGATACTGGCCGTAAGATGAAAAAAGCAGAATTTCCCAAACACAATTTACGAGGCCGCCTCACAGCTTCAAAGCACTACTTCTTATGAGAAACATTTTGGCTGAACAGAAGCTTACGTTCCCATTTAGACCAACCTTAGACATGTGATAATTTCTCAGCGCCAGTTATTAAAACTAATAAAATTATTTAATGTATTCGATTCAGCATTTCTACAGAAGTAACTAACTTAGTGTTAAATTATTCCCTGTAAACACAGTTAAACTTTTTTTCACAGCTACTATGACTGAAGCTACTTCGTCAGGAAATTAGGCGGCTGTTGCTTGTTACTGTTATTTTTCGTTTTCGTTATTTCGGTGAAGAAGTTAT